CCATCCACCTGCCCATCCAACCATCCAACCATCCATCCATCCATCCATCCATCCATCCATCCATCCACCCACCCACCATCCCTTATACATTGATCCATCTTCTTTTATTTCCTCCAACCCATCCAAATAGTCACCCAACCCTCCATTCATCTGTGTTTATACATGTTCATTATGCATCCTCCTCCCTTCCCTACTTCTCCTCATCTCATCCCACCTATTTTATACATCAGTGCCCTTAACTATTCATCTAACCTCAATTTCTAAGTAACTTTCTCCATCTTACTTACCAACTCTACCTGTCAGCCATCCATCCATCCTCTGACCCAACACGTCAATGCATCCACTCATCCTTCAAGCCATCTGCCATCACTTCTGCTCCTCTAGCTGAGCCATGTGCATCCATTCATCCTGTACCTGTCTCCACACTCATCCTTGCTCACTCGCACCCTATTACCCCTTAAGTCATCTCATCCATCCATGCAGTTTATGCACTATTGTTTTATTTTGTTTTTGTTTTTTCTATTTTCCCTCCCTTTTCATCCATCCACATATCCAACTACACTTTTTGGACTTTGTGGAAGAAGGAAGTGCTGAAGAGAAGGAAATCCTAAGATTTATCCTGGGTGAGGGTGGCCTCCTCCTCGGGAACATTTCTTCATAACCAGAGAATCTTGGAAATGGGTCCAGCTCTGCCCAGTGTCTTCCCAGAACTTTCTGGGCTCCAACCTACTCCCTGTATCTTAACATTCCTTTCCCAGAGACTGCGGGGACTGCCACTTCTTCTGTCTATGCATAGCGCCTATTCTTAGGTAATCCCTGTTAATTTGAGGTTAGGAACCCCGTTCAGAGTAGAGCACACTTACATCCTCCATTGTCTGATCATATAACTCTCTGAGACCAACTTCCTCCTTCATCTTACGTATTCATTTATTGATTCCAGCTTCATTGTGATACAATTGACAGGTGACAGTGTGTAAGTCCAATGTGTACAACGTGACGATCTGATACACGTACATGCTGCAAGATGATTGCAACAGGGGGGTTCTTTAGCATACCTGTCACCTCACATAATTATCGTTTTTGAGGTTTGTAGTTTTTTGGTGGTAGGAACACTTAAGATGTGCTCTCAGCAACTTCCAATCAAATAATAGAGTATTGTTGACAATCCTATTTTATTTTAAAAAATTTCAGACTTACTGAAAAGTTGCAAAAAGAAATACAAAGAATTCCCGTGTGCCCTTTGCACAGATGTTCCCAGTACTAGCCTTTTCCTTCTCTCTGGCCACTGGCCTCACCTCCTCCCCTGGCCTCAGGTTCGGGACAAGAAGCTTCTCAACGATCTGAACGGAGCGGTGGAAGACGCCAAGACGGCCCGGCTCTTCAACATCACCAGCTCTGCGCTGGCCGCGTCCTGCATCCTCCTTGTCCTCATCTTCCTGCGGTACCCGCTCACCGACTACTGAGGCCCCCGGGCACCGCTGGCTGTGGAGACAGGGCACTGGACATGTCTGTCTTCACGCCTGATGTGACTCGGGATGCTGTGTGGTTGGGCAGAGCAGGGCGTGTGCCCTGGAGCCCCCCTGAAGCTGTGACCTGGGCAGAGAGGCCGTCAGAAGCTCTGTGCAATACAGGGGCAGCGAGCTTCGGGCTGGCCCACCCTCTCTGCCTCCTGACCCTCTCCGCCTCTGCCTGTTTCTGGGGTCTATGGGCGTCTCCTTGTGCTGCTGCACCCTGGCTTCCACTGGCTGCCCTCCCTGCCCTCCTGTGCCCCCCCCAGGCTCCTGGGGCCCCTCTGACCCGATACCCAGCAAGAAGGGCTTCTGTGGGAGCTTCCCAGTTTGGGGGGGAGCTGCCAGCATCTGGGGACTCACTCTGTCTTCCCTCTCACCCCACCTCCTCCAAGCTGTGACCCTGCTCAGAGCTCTTGTATCTGTGAACTTTCAATAAAATACCTGTCTGGCTCCAGCCCAGCCTCTGTCCCATGGCCGAGCAGGGCATGGGGGGAATTTGGCAGCTCTGGGAACCCCACTCTGGCACTGCCCGGTGGTCCAGGCCCCCAGGGCTGACTCTGCCGGGGAAGGTTTACTCCGTGACCTGGCAGTCTTCTGCCCACAATGCAAGGGGACTGAGCGGGGCTTTGGCAGAGGGAGTCCCAAACACAAGCCCCCTTGAGGGTTAGGCAGCCAGAACACAGCTGCCCGCCTGGTTGTAAGTTAGAGCAAAGAAAACCAGTGCATCCCCCAAGAGGGGACAGAGCCCTCGTGGCACGGGGTCATGGCTGGTCTGGGAAACCAGGCAGCTCAGGTGCAGAGAGGGCAGGAGGAAGGCCTGCACATTTTACCCCCAGCCCCAGGGGCATGCTTAGCAGGGGAGGGACCAGGCGTGCTTCGTGGGTTTTGAGGGTGGAGCTGTTTGGAGCGTCAGGACCCCTTGGAGGGTACAAGGTGGGGCGCAGACTCTGCAGTGGGGACCGTGGCGTGTGGGCTGGGGCTGGGGCAGCTAGGGAGGGCGTTCACCGTGTCTCAGGGGCAAGGTTGATGGAATCTGGGGACAGACTGGGTGTGCAGGTGAGGTGGGCATGGAGGAGCTGGGGGCGAGCCCTGCATGTCCAACTTGGCCAGGGCTGTGTGCTAATATGGGGACCCCAGGAGGAACCCTGTGGGAGCAGAAGAGCCATCTGGGCTGAAACAGTGGGTTTGGAGCCTCCGCAGGGAACCCGGGCAGCCTGAGCAGTGACAGCCTGTGCGGAGCCCAAGGAACACCACCACTTCCGGGATGGCTGGCAGGAAGACAGGCATCCCCGTAGGAAAGCCGGGAGTGTGACGGGCCGAGGACGGAGAGGCCAGAGGTGCCCACTGGGTTTAGGGGCTTGTAGGGGAGGAAGGAAGCAAGGAAGGGTCAGAGAGCCGTGCTTGAGGGATGGGGACATGGCAGCAAGTGGCCATGACAGGAGAAGAGAGGCAGCGTGAGGTGTCTGGGGTCTTTTCTGGGCAAATGAACCAGGTGGGGGTGGGGCACTGTGCCCTCGGTCTCTGGGGCGGTGCAAGGGTCAGCTGAGGGCATGCGTCCAGGGGCTCCGTGGTTTTCCCACGAGGTGCGCTGCTGCAGCAGACACACCAGAAGGAAGGCGTCAACGGGGCTGGAGAGCAGGACACCGGCCTGGGCATCTGGTGAGGACGGGAAGGTGCTGGACAATCCCAAAAAGGCCAGGCTGCTGGGACTTGAATCCTGGTGGGTCCAAGGTTCCGTGTGCAGAGTCATGCTGAGCGGGGAGGCAGGTGTTTCTGTGGGAGCAGCAGATCTGATCTGGAGACATGTTTCCCAGGTGAGAGCGTTAAGAGGTTGTTAAGAGAGTGTTAAGGGGTTTCAAGCAAACAGGGCCTGGGCGGTTGGCAGGTGCCTGGGTGAGGGAGCAGGACTCCAGCCCCTGGTCTGACCCAGAAGCCCAGCAGAAGGGGGTGAGGAGAGACAGAATACCATGGCATGACCCCTGACCCCTAGGCAGTGGCAGGATGCAGGGTGGGGGTATGGGGGGGGGAGCTGGGACCCCTGCAGGTTTGCACGCCACCACGTGGAGGGGAGCAGGGAGCCTTCCAGATGGCCCCCAGGAGGGTGGCTGGTAGGGTGCTGGAGGGCAGGGAGCCTCTGGGGCCAGCTTGGTCCTGCATGCTTCCAGAGCCTCCAAGATCATACCAGGTGGGTTCCCATCACTGCCCAGCAACCTTCTGGAGGAGGGAGGGTCAGAATGTTATGTGGAGGGCATCTGGGAACTGGGGACTGGGTGAACCTAGGCCCTACCCTAATGTCCAGGTGGCTTTATTATGCCTGGCGGGGCCGGGAACGTAGAGGCAAAATGTTTTCTTCGCTCTTTTTCCTTAAGCCTTTGCAGCCAGCAGCTGGCTGAGCCCCTGGGACAGGTACCTGGAGGAAAAACATCCCCAGGAAGAAGGCCTCGGCCGGGCTCTTCCCTGGAACGTGCCCCGCCCAGCTGAGGCTTTTGGGCTCTTGTTCAATATGGTCCAGTGGCCTTGCAGTCAGGAAAGGCACCCCTAGCCTGCAGATGTTTGTGTCCTTCCTGGGCAGCATGGGGCCATACCCTGGAGGTGCCGTCTCCCCCACCCTTGGGCTCAGGAGAGAGGCTGGTGCTCTCTGGGCAGGGTGTCTGTGGTGGTGTCGGGTGCACCCCTCACCCCAGCAGGAGGGCAGGCACGGGGTCCGGTCTTGGTCTCTGGCCTCCAGGTCTGTGTCTTTGCCCCTTGGGGCTCCTCCCTGACCTTCCCGCGACTCCCCTCCCTGCTTTCATCTGGTTTTGCACTGTGTCGGGCAGGCACTTGCCGCTCAGTAAATACTTGTAGGAACGAGGGAGCCAGTCACCCCGGCTCACTCTCTTCCTGTCCTGCTCCATGTGCCCCTCGTTTCTGCATCTTCGGGGGCAACTTTCTCTGCCCTCCCCCTCCCCCATGCTGCCCCGATTGGCCCTGCCACTGCCCTCGTGACCTCCAGCCCACTGCCCAGCTTCAAAAGATCGAGACCCAGTGGCTGGATGGAAAATGGGTCTAAAGGCCGAGACTGGCTGTATGCACATGTGTGAGCACGTGTGTGAGTGTGTGCACGTGTGTGTGCCCATGTATGTGCATGTGTGCACGTGTGTGCGCTTGTGTGAGCCCGCGGTCACCCGCATGTGCTCGTGTGCACGTGTCAGGATTTGTGTGTGCCCATGTGTGCGTGTGAGCCTGCATGTGTGCAGGTGTGTGCAGGTGTGTGCATGTGCCCGTGTGTGCCTGTGTGAGCCCGTGTGTGCACATGTGCTCATGTGCCCGTGTGTGCCCGCCTGGGTGCCCGCGTGTGTGCCCGTGTGTGCATATGTGCGTGTGTGTGCCCGCCTGGGTGCCCGCGTGTGTGCGTGTGTGTGCCCGTGTGAGCCCGCCTGTGTGCCCGCGTGTGCTGGGGAGGGCGGCTGTGCAGTTCGCGCCCAGCCCCTCCCTTGGCCCAGCATTCTCCAGCCTGTTCCTGTTCTCCAGACGCTGAAACCACAGAGGGGTCTTTCTCCGTGACGGGCTCTCAAGTCCCCTCCTGCTCCCACCGAATACAGACCACTGGCTCAGATGGGGGGCACGGGAGTGCGCAGTGCCTGACTGCGACAAGCTGCGGGGCCCAGGGAGATGGGCAGGTCCAGGGGGAGGCTGCTCTGAGGCAGCAGAGACCCCGACCCGCCCTGTAGGCACCTGCCGGGCCACAGACACCAGCGGGAGGGGCCCGGGGCTAGTTGGAAGGACAGAAGCCCTACAGCCTGGAGCCCAGCCGGAGCGGGGAGGGCAGCAGTGCAGGAATGTGAGCTCCTGGGCATCTCGTCCTCCCTCCTTTTCGGCCGTCCTGGGGGAGGTGGCGGGGTGGGGGGCTCCCGGGGCTTCAGGCTGTGCTCCCCGACCCTTGTGACACGAGCATCTTTCCGTATGCTTCCTGCCACCTGCATGTCCTCTTGCTAAATGCCTGTTCTATTCGCTTGAGCACATCTTTCCTCCCAGGCTGTGGATTTCTTCGGGGCACCCCGGTCACTCTGTCTATGTCTTGTCTCGCCCCTCGATGGCCCTGCTCGGAGGCTCTCGGAGGGCTCTCTCCCTGGCATCTTCTAATAAAGAGAAATGTCCGATTTCAATACGGTCATAGTTACCAACACCTTCCATTAGGTGAGGGCCTTTCTCCCAAGACACAAAAAGAAGCGAATGTAGAGAAAAACACCCGGACATTTGCCAAATCAGGGCACACGGGGGTGACACCGGGGCGCTGCGGAAGTTCTACTTCTTGACGCCCGTGGTGGTTACGTGTTTGTTTTATAAAAGTCATTAAGTTGTGTGGTCGTGCCTTATGTAGTTGCGGGCACGACATGCATGCGTTTCTACAAATATATTCCTGAATGCCGTCAATGGGAAATACCTCAAGCATGTGTTAACATATATTTTCATATACATATGAAAACAAATTCATAAGTGCACAGCTTTGCTTGGACTCGAGTGATTTCGTAGGGAAGTTGTCCTTCTATCTATTCATAAACAAGCACAATGCGTGGAAGAGAATGTCTCTGGAATAAACCACACGGACAAGACTGAGATGTGAGGGCGGCGCTGAGGGGGAGCCGAGAAGGTTTGGGGGGCGCGGGCAGGTGCACAGGGCGGGGGCAAGTGGGGATGACAGGAGGCTGGATACAGACAGGGGGTTTGGTCCAGTACGACATGTGGTCAGGCTGATGGGAGTCGGTGAGAAACGTGTCGAGGGACAGCAGAGCCACAGTGCTGGGTGGGATTGGGGAACCCGGACACCCCAGCTATCCCCACGGGGCGGGGCGGCAAGCCTCAACACCCCGAAAGCAACAAGCTCACCGACGCCCAGATCCTGGCTCTTAAGGTCACTGGTCCCTGCAGGGACTGGGCACCCCTGGGATCAGCGGGCAGCGGGCAACACCTGG